CCAACATAACGCTCATTTGCATCAAATAAACAATCAAGCTTCAAATTGATGGTGTGGTCCTTGCTAGTGAAATATGATTTATGACTACATCAGCCATCAATTAAGAAACGTAATGTGATGTTTGTGGCCCTGACTGTGTTTAATGGATCTATTATTCCATAGCATGTTTGTTTTTATACCACATGTCGAAATCTCTGTGCTGTTTTCAGGCCTAACTGTAAACTATCTTTACAAAAGTATATTGGTTTTAACACTTTTGCTGCATCCAGCCTCCACAGGGGAGCATGATTATGAAATGCATCTCTTTGAGAATATCAAACTTACATTTTGAGCATTTTACTCACATGTTTTCTCTGCATCACAGGTGTTAAAAGGCTTTCCTGACTGCCTGCAGGCAGATATTTGCCTTCACCTCAACAGAAATCTTCTGCACAACTGCAAAGCCTTTCAAGGAGCCACCAAAGGCTGCTTGAGGGCTTTGGCCATGCGCTTCAAAACCACTCACGCGCCTCCTGGAGACACTCTGGTCCACGGCGGTGACGTGCTCACTGCCCTCTACTTTCTGTCCCGTGGCTCAATTGAGATCTTGAAAGACGATATAGTGGTAGCGATCCTGGGTAAATACAATCCTCTTGTTGATTACGTTACTGCTGTGTCGCGACATCCAGGGGTTAATTCTTTAGTTAATCTGATACGGCGTCTCAATTGCATTAAGTAACCAAGGTGTGGGGTGCTAAGCTAATTGAGAGACTGTGATGCAGTCGTATAGGAAAAGTCAAGCACTTTGAGTCAAGACAGATTGTTTTTGTTTGACCTTTTTGCCAGCGTCTGTCATTAGTATTGTGGATGTTGTGGCAGTCTCTGTTGCACATAAAACCTCCATCTCCACCAAGATAAGCCATCAACTGTAAAAGTCAGCCTCCCCTCCCTATTGTAAGGAAGATCTCTCAACTTATTGTGTGTTGAATGTCAGCATCAGACAAGCTAAAAAAGCCTTTTCCCACAATTTTTGATCAAGTCTCACTTTGGAAAAGTAAAAAGTGATTCGAGTCCATATTTTTTTAACTCCTTCATTTTATGAGTCTGGTTATAGGCAACGAGTGAGCATCAAAACTATGCTGATATCCACATGGAACTCAAAACACATTGTTGTTTTGGCCATACAGGGGATGAAATATGTAAGTCTGTGTTAAAATTGTTTAAATAAATGGAACACATAGAATGTGTCTCCATGTGGGTTTCCACCTTTGGCTTTCTGTGGAAGTAGTGGGGTGTTTCTGTGACAGGTTGGAGACTGTGACATTAAGTGGCTCCATGAAAGGTTGCCTGGCTCTTTGAAAGAGCACGGTGAAATATCTGCCATGTGTTTGACAGCGCTGGTAAATGAGTTAAAGCTGCAAAATGAGGATTATTTTTTTTAAAAAGAGGCTGTAAAAGGCAACTAAAGGCTAAAACACCTGCCGGCTCCAAATTTGAAATTGTTCTTCGCTCTTGTGCTATAATGACAATAAATACTCATTATTTCTTATTAGAGTAATGAGTATTTATCTTTTTCTTCATGGGTGAACCGCTACCAGGTGCTACAGGCCAAAGCCCTGGATTAAATTTACCATTATTCATGAGATGAATGCTCTCCAAAGCTGCACCTGACAGAATGAGGTTTAAGCTTAGCAAAAGTTGCTGCATCACACGAAACGCATTATTAACAAACACGCCGGAAGAGTCGCTCATCTCATAGATCCGCCCATTTGTACAAACACAATGCTCCATCAGCAGCATTTTTGCTCCGCTTCGTTTGTGGACTCTTTGTATATTTCCTAGTCTTTCTCTCACCTACATGGCCGTGGTCAGCCCCTCAGTGCTGAAACATTTGTCTCTTGTAATGATATTGACTCCAACAACGCTGGTAGCATTGTTCCGCAAGTGAAGAATTAGTCTCTTACACTAATGACCATCTAAATCCTTGTGGTGAGAGCTGCATGTGGGGGAGAGATACGCTACTCTGTGTGAGGCTTTCCTCTGCGGTAGAAAGGTGTCCAGTGCATGCTGTGAGAGGAACACTGGCAGCCAACGTATCATATCTCTTCCTCCTGAACCCCTGCTTACACTGCTGGCATTTAGTGAACCCCCTCACCAACAAAGGGATTTTTCATGATGGCCTTTAAACCAGCCCTCTAAGTCCCTTTTGCAAAAATGGACCCTTATTTCAGCAGAGGAATCTTTTTTTTATTCCCCCAGTTTGAAAAAATTTTACGACTTTATGGAAGTTTGCCGAAGAACTGTCTTCATTATGTGGTCGCCATTATCAACACAAATATCCTGCTTTGAAGCACTCAGCAAGTAAAGTGTGTCAATCACAATCAAACGCTGCTTCTCCCCCCCCTTCCTCACATCAAAGTTGCTTTGAGTTACTAGTTATTCCTCAGCATAAATAATGGATCAAAGATAGAAAGACAACTGACGCACAGGCCTTGGGAGAACATCCACACAGAGAGGAAAGGCTGTTTGATTTTCATTATCCACCAAAACAAACATGTCTGCTGCCCTTTAGTGGAAGCCGGGGAGTATTTAGATAAGTCCCCACAGACAAGACAACACAAATTCTTCTCAATAATACGCATGGCTACTTTTAGAAGCCACTGCAGGTAAAATCAATACTTTTTTCCCAGTTGCTAATTAGGCTGTTGAGATGATGCATTGTCTGTGTGTGTGTGTGTGTCACCAGGAAAAAATGACATATTTGGAGAGATGATCCATCTATTTGCCAAGCCTGGAAAGTCCAATGCTGATGTGCGAGCTCTAAGTTACTGTGACCTGAGCACCATCCAGAGAGAAGATCTGCTGGAGGTGCTGGACATGTACCCGGAGTTTGCAGACTGCTTCTTTAATAACCTGGAGCTTACCTTCAACCTCAGAGATGAGCCTGCCAAGGTAGATAATATGAAAATAATCATCTGGGACCTACGAGTATCCACGTTGTCATTTGTCAAAATTCCATTAGATTCTATTAATTTTAAGCAATCTAGAATTAATTAGCTTTTTACCACTTTTTCATTAACTAACTGATTCTAATTTTCGCAGCCCTCCAGTGTCCAAGGCGGCGATTCAGACGACGAGGGCAATAAAAGTATAAAAAGAAGAATTTCTTTCACTTCAGATCTATCTAAAGGTCAGTAGAAACTAATCAACAGTGCATCAGTACAGCCTTATTCAGCTCGCTTTGTGGCTGCAAATGTATTCTTTGTTATTGTTCGGTGAGTGGTGCCGACTCAGAACACCTATTCTCTGAGGAATATAGTGTTATTCCACCGACTCCTGTTGATTGCCGTTCTGCAGGGGAAAACAAGGAAGTGGGAAAAGACATTCAAAGGGAGAGAGAGTCTAACTCGTGCCTAAAGAGAAGTTCAGTCGTCCTGGGTCCCTCTTCGCTCAACGTCCCGGCCCTAGACTCAGATCTTATTGTCAGAGACAGCATGGACAGAAGACCATCCTTTGAAGGTAACAGACAATGTTTTACAGCGGACTGTAGGTATCACGAGAACCCGATGGTTACAGTTATTATGAGAAGAACTTGAGGTTATGGTTACTGGGTCATGCAGGACAAAAGGGTCACAGCAGCAGTGGGAAGCCAGTGAGGGATCATGTCCTTGACACTTCAATGGGCATGGTTATGGAGGGGGTTGAGGTCTTCCCTGACTTCCAAGGCTGGTTTGAGCACAAATTTATCAGTTTAAATCCTTGTCTTTTACCACAATGCCGCACAGCAGATTATAACACTGCGAGATACGATGCTACATCTCTGGAAAGTAATCAAACTGCTTTGGCTCGCCATCGCAACATTCACAAAGTCAATACTTATCCCATTACCAAGTAATATGTTTGATGTGCCAATGTGGTAGTCTCATTGAAATGAATGAGGAGGCTGTTTTTTCTTGTAGTGCTAATGTTATCCTGAACACATTAGTAGGAGTGAAAAGGATGGAAGTGTGGAGGCATAAGCTCGTCCAAATTAGTGAGACAAAAAAAAAAAAAAGGGAAATACAACGGCTGTCTTGAATCAGAAGAAAATACCTTAATATAATCACCATCCGATTATTGTAAACAGTCTGTAAAAGTTGAACAGTAAAACTTTCACTAAGTTTTTACTGCAGGGCTACTGCAGTTCATGGCTTCATATCTTTTCAGTGTTTTTGTGCCCATCAGGTACATTTCAACGCTAGCCAATCAACTGACCTATTTTTCCACAACAGAGATGTGACTGAGATGCAGAGAAACATTGAGGAGAGATGAGACTGAAAATATGGCGTCATCCTGTATAAACAGGGCCAAGCTTTGAAGACGTGCATCTTCAGTCATAAAGAATAAACTGTGCAGCATCTCTTATGGTGTTCTGGTACGCATCGATCTGCAGCCTTAGTTGGTCCAATAAAATCAGAAAAGTGCTGATTCCAAATCCAGAGTGTCTTTGGAGACTGGCTCAAAGAGCTAACATACACTACAATAACTTACCATCCACTTACCCTAGCTGAGCACCCAATCTGAAAGTCCGAGGGTTTCCTAAGGACATCGCATATTCCTTTGATAAGACTCACTATCCAGAACAACACATTAGAGAATGGAAAGGAAAACTAAGCTAAGTGCGAGACAGAATCTATACTTGATCTATACGAGTCAACACGCTCAAAGTCCTTCTGCACAGACTGCTCCGCGAGATAGTTTAATCACAGAACCAACCATCTCTCTGTAAAAACAACAAAAGAGGATCAACACATATCACTGGACAGCAGGCGGAATACTACCGTGTGCCCAGCAGAGATAACAGCGGGGTTAGTTTGCAGCAAAACACTGCAATAATAACTCTCCTGGTACCGATGGTTGATAAATTACAACAAAGAGCCTACACGCAGCTTTCTTGTAAAGATTAATTACGGTCTATTTTAGTGGGGGGCTTTTTTGTGTAGTGATGACGTTGTACTGACCCACATTGTAGGATGTAAAGCATGCGTGTTGGTTTGGTTCTCCAGATCTGTGCTGTGATAAATGGGCCTGTAAGAAGCCTACAGACTACCTGGATGAGTCAGCACAGTTCCAGGACCTGAGAGAGGATGATAATTCTGCCAGCGAACTCACATACGGGGAGGTGGAACAACGCTTAGGTCAGCTTCAAGAGCATTTAAACAGGTACGTGGCTTTAAAGTCAGCATACAGACGCTTGATTTTCATTTTACTGCCTTAAACTGTGAATTAGCCCAGAATGTGAACTTTGCCAGGTTTTGCACCTGCATGATTTAGAGTGTTTTGTTTTGTTTTTTTTGTCCCTATTTTTCATAGTGCTGCAAACAAGCTGTTTGCACATAGTGGAACAGTTTAGCACAGGGGTGTCCTGTCCTGGTCCTCGAGGGCCACAATCCTGCACGTTTTAGATGCTTCCCTCTTCCAACACACCTGATTCAACCAATCAGGATCGTTATCAGGCTTCTGCAGAGCTTGATGACGAGCTGATTATTTGAATCAGGTGTGTTGGAAGAGGGAAGCATCTACAACATGCAGGACTGTGGCCCTCGAGGACCAGGATTGGACACCCCTGGTTTAGCAGACTTACCTGCAGGCTGTATCTAATAATAGTGGATATTATCTGGCCTCTCTCGGGCTATGTGCAGGACAACTGTAATTGAAACAATTGTGATAACAATAAAGCAAATAATAGAAAATATAAAATGGCATGAAGCATTTTTTTTTTTGCACGAGTACTTTTGCTTTTGACACATTTTGCACAGATTTTCAGTATTTTTTGTGTTTTTTATAGATGAGTTTGAGCTTTTCTTTACTCTGTAATTCTACTCAAAGCAACAGCAGCTGAGTTGCAGTGAAAGATTTTGAAGATACGTGCATGTGGTAACGTCAGAGGCACAAAAAAAGTAAACCTAATTTCTGCACCTGTACTAAAGTGTAAAAGTTTAAAGGGACAGAATGTAATCTGAAGTTGAAGGACTGTACGAAAGTAAACCGCCCTCACCAAAGCACAGGAGAGGTATCTTTGAACCAGTACCTTACTTCAACTACAGCTCAAATACACCTTTTCATACATAATTGAGTGAAGCAGGAAATCTGCGTTGCCAGAATGAGTCTGACTGACCTGGTTGGTTGGGCGGAGTAAAACCTGATATTTGCTGACTCGACTGAGGCAGCAAAAACCTCAAATCCTTTTTTTTTTTTTTATAGAGTCTGTTCTTTAAAGTTGACTCATGTGTACTTCTTTTGATAAATTACTCAAGATGTCTTCTGCAGCCAGACTACCGGACATTTGTGGTCATATTCCAAGAAAGTAATACAGATAAAGATGTGATTATTCTTATTCACCTATCAGCACATTTCCACCTAATTGTTCTTATTACTTTCACTTAATGATCATGGAATGTTTTTTTTTTTGTTTGTTTTTTTAATTGTCACCTCCCACACTGATAAAAAGTAAGCTACACAGAATGTGCATGAGTAGGTGGAGGACTAACTAGCTGGCAGGAGCTGCTGGAGTGGGAGGGTGGGTCTACTGGAAGCAGGATTTTCCACCGTAGAACTGAAGCAGATCAAACTTGAACTGGTGCGGAAGTCGGTGCTGTATTTCAAAGTAGTGCTCAAAAAAACTCACGACTGAGAATAAAGTGTGTCTCATGTTATAATGAGAGAAGCAACACATCATGAGCCACTTTCTAACAACCAACTTATACTGAATAATAAATATAAGCGCGCTACCTTCCCCCAAATTTTCCACATTTTATTCTCGTTACTTTCTGTGATGGAAAAGCTCATTGGCCGTCGTTTCGGCAACACATCTGCAGCCAGCAGCCACCTGAAACAGACCCACAAATGAACAGCAGGTGGTATTTTTAGCTGGAATTATCACAGAGGAAGAGAGATGGCATCAGGGTGCCTGAAATACTGGGCTAGCTCATTTTATTAAGCACAAATAAGACACTTTATCCACTGTACCTTATCTGACCTTGTTTTTTTTCCCCCCCTAATGCCGCCTGGCTGCAGGATGAGCAGCACTTCTCTCATTTATGTGCTTTTGTGTTTTGACTGGTCTTTAAACATATGACAGGCAAATGTGTTTTTAGCAGTGGCCAAGAAAAATATAAGTTTGCTGCTTATCTCTCATCCTATATAACCTCAAGTATAAAAAGACTCTCAGTGTTCGTATATATTAGATAGGATGGAGGTAATTAAAAGGTTATTCAGCATTACCCAATTTGCCCTAAATATAGAGCTTGGATGAAAACTCGTCATAATTAGATTGGCCAAACAAGTATAATGCAGTCATTTCCACAATAAACGCTGAAGTCACACCTCCCACACAAAGCTCATTATCGCTCCTAGCAGGAGTAGTGTCTTTTGTCTACTACTCTGACAGAATGTGTTTCCACACCTTCGCCATCTCTTCATTTGTCCACTGCTGAGGAGCAGAAGCTCCATCTAGTGCTCAGCGAAGTACAACAGAGTGTGTCTTCAGCCATTATCACACTCAGCCAGTATCACACTTGTCAGAATTAAGCGTTCATCTCATCTTACAGTGTGCCCGCGCCTTTGTCCTTCTCACTCACTTTTTTTGGGGGGGTGTTCTTTTTTTAGGCTGGAGTCTCAGCTGATATCAGACATTCAGACCATCCTGCAGCTGCTGCAGAGACAGCCGACTCTGGGACCTCCTGCCTACAGCACTGTGACTGCCAGTCCAGACTATCACAGACCTGCTGTGAAGGTTCAGCCAGCTGCTCTGACTGCAAGCCATTTTTTCAGCCATACAGCAACTCAAGTAAGGATGTTGATTCAGTTTGCTACAAAGGGAGCCTGGCTCTTTTTCACATATGTACACGGAGAATTGCGTTGCATCACGTTGAGACCCATAGGCTTGTTTTTGCTTTTTTTTTGTACTACTGAATAGAATTTTACACCCCAAAAAAATTAAATATTCTGGTAACTAGAGTGCCAAAAAATGTAAAATAACAGAAAATGGTCATCTAAATAAAAGAGATGATGTGGGTTTTTTAAATAACGGATAATTATATGTGTAGAAACAATTAAATGACCGATCTCTCATTTAATAAGCTAATCTATTTAAAGTTAAGACATATATTTCCAGTAATAAACTTACATTTAGTAGTTTGTATTAATGCAGTTATGTCTTCTGGTACATATAAAGCCACATAATTAATACTAAAAAAAAAACTGGTGAACAGAATGAAACAGTAAATAGATACAGAGGGTGAATAAATTAACTTGATTCACAAAAAAAACAAACATTCTTTTTTTCAAATCTGGCAGTTAGGGTGCCAAAAAAAAGTAAAATAACAAAAGAAAATAATCTAAATAAAAGTGCTAATTAAAAAATAGTTAGGATATGTTTTCTTGCTTTCATTTTATATGACATCATGTGTATTTTATTTTATTTCTTTAACTTAAGTAACATATATTTGTATGTGTAAAAACTATTTAATAACCCATCTCTCATTTAATAAGCAAATCTATGTAATATTATACATTTTTAGTTAATTTTCACCCATTGTGTCTCAGTTTAGAAATATATTTTCAGCACTAAACTTAAGTTCAACAGTTTCATCTATACAAATAAAAGAGGAAAATTGCTTTGATAAAAACTACTTTCATAAAAAGATGTATTAACATTGTGTGGATATTCAGAGTTTTTTCTGTTATTTCACAATAGGTATGCAAATTCAATCTATTTTGTAATTACACTGATGTTTTTGTGTATTTCAATAACATGGGGGGATCTATAAGAAATAAAAAGCAAAAATTCAGTGTGCATACAAATCAATTTCCTGCAGTGCAGACAACTCAGTGTTTACTTTGTGAAACTCTTCCTTCAGGGCCCTAACAGTAAAGCGGAGAGCACCGTTCAGGAACCCAAAGACTCTCTTACGAGCTTGGCCAATGTGAATGCACCCGTCAAGGACAGCCTTACTGCACTGCTTGTACAGAGACACACGGAGTCACAACAACAGCAGCAGCAACAGATCACAGGGCAGCAACAGTCAGCATTGATCCTTCTTCCAACTGAAACTTCTTCCCCCTCTTCTTCTTCCTTGGCGTCACCTTCTGACTCCAACCTCAACACCACGGGATTCCACAGACCTGTCTCAGACCCAGAGTTTCCAAGGCCATAAACCTTTCAGCAGCACTGTATTCTGATATCGGGGTTGTAATGCTGTAATTACTAAGTAGCAGTTGTTTTTTTTTTTCTTTTTTGAGATTTTTTTTTTTTATCAGCATGCTGGCACAGACATCTGTATTGTTAATTTGCAGTGGCTTGGTAATAGAAATAAGGTGTTCTTTCATTGTGCATGTGGATAAAACACTGTCTTTTGCAGTAAACAGGGAAATAAGAATCCGTTTCCTGCAGTTGCCAGTGTATTAGCAATGGTGACATATTTTCACAGTAGCTCTATCAAAACAGCATTGAATCTATAATCATCATCATCACTCATTCAGTCTAAAAACGCAGATGCCCAGCGATGAACCTACTCAACCCAGTGGAGATTACTGCCCCTATATGAGGACAGCACTTCCTCGGTCACTTAGTCTGCAGCTTTTTAACTAAATTCTAGTTAATCTGCAGGGATGCTGGTTAAAGCACTCCACCTGGTTGTGATAGAAGCAGCACTACAGCATCCAAACAACTTTCTATTTCACCAAGGCTTTGCACTCTAATGGGCTCTGCATTTCTTCCTGTGACTCAGCTGCAGCTTTTTATGTTCCCACGCAGTTGGTGGCACCGGCGCGGGCCACCAGACTTGGGTCAGCCGGAGTGAACTCGGCGTGACCCCCTCTGTCATGAAACCTGGCACTGTCAGAGACGAGCACCAGTGTACCACTCTACAGCACATTCACAGCTTCACTCCTGAACAGGAAACAAAGGCCCCGGTGATGTTGACAGTCAGAGACAGAGAGGTGTGTCCCATCCGCCGCCATCACTCACTAAGCAAGAAGAGCTGACAGACCTACCTCACACCAGACAGGTTCCAATGACCAGCACTCCAGACATCAGTGCATCACAACAAACAGCTTTCTTTCTCGTGTCAGCTGCAGAGCCGTGGACAGACCGGGTCCTCGGCTACCAGGCCACGACCACCAGAACTCGCCAGTCTGTGCAGAAACCCACCATATGACTCCAGTCAGCTGCTCCTCAGTTAAAGGATCTGTGGGAGATGAGCATTGTTGATGAGTGTCCAGGTAGATACTGAGCAAGTCCAGGCTGGAAACCAATCCTTTTTTTTTGTTCTGGCATGAGGAGAGGTGAGGGTGGCAGCAGCAACACATAGGCAGTCTCACAACCTCCAGAACATGGGTCAGAAAAAAAGACAAAATAGGTCAGCTGATAGACAAGGTGACAGTCACAAGCCACCAAACCTCCACTACCAGTACTCCTGTGCAGAAAGCAAGAGAGAGACAGAGAGAGAGGGGCGATGTAAGGCCACAGACATCGGTCACCTTCCCACATAGGGCCAGGACAAATGTACTGCCAAGGAAATTTATGTCCACCAACTGATAGGATCTTGAAATGTTTATAGACAAGCATTTGCCAACAGCTCTGTCAAGCCTCTTCTAACTCTTTCATGCTTGTAGTCTGAAGGGGGAAAGGTTGTCTCTCCAAACGCTGAGTGTCAGCAGAGAGCAGCTCCTGTTTTACTCACTGCCAAAGTGCAACGCGATTGATCACTCTCACTACACTGCGGAGTAGCAGGCGAGGAGAGATGGACGCTTCGACTAAAGATTGTAAATGCTGGACGGGCGCAGCACATCGCTGTTACCGAGGCGGGCTGGCAGCTGGTGAGCGAAGATATGTTTGTTCAAGCAGCTGACCGGTGCAGCCTGTGACTGGGAAACAATAATGGGAGCCAAAAGCAGGGTCCTGAGCTGCTTTGTGTCCTTATTGCCACTGTGCAAGTGCGAGCACCTGAAGTATGAAGAACTTTGACGTGACGGGAAAACGATGTTGCTGAAGTTGTTGTATAGCACCGACAACGCAGTGGAAACACATACTGTGAATTTCCTCCGCTGGGACTGAAGATCTCGCGTGATACTGGCCACATGGATACAACCACTGATGAACCTGGTTATTGATGTCAGAGCCTGTTTAGAGCCTAAAGCCTGTGTGGGATACATTTACTCATTCTTGCATTTAGAGGGCCTGAACCTGCATACGAACAGACTATATGACATTTTCTTCTGCAGCTATTAGTGTAATACAGCATTATTACAAAAGGTGTGACAAGTTTTCTTACTTTTAGTTGTATGCCTGTCTTCTCTGAAGTGTGACTCAGGGGTTATGGACAATTGCACTGCAATATACAGTACAGTATCAAGTATACTATAGTTTTCTTCTTTAAACAATGTGCATTATTTAAGCAGTCACTGATGTGCACCTCCTGCACCACTGAAGCCAACAGAACACACCATACATGTTTGTCGGGGCAAATATCTTAACATGCAGTTGCTGTTATTTATCCCGGAACTTGGACCTCTTGATGAGCAAGTATGGTGTCGGCATTTTTACAAAGCAGTGCATGTTTTTTTTTTTATACTTAAATATATATATATACTGTTATGCACTGCTTATCAGCCCAAAGTAGCACATTACAATGTAAAATGATGTCAGCATACTGGTCTCTTTTAGGATGTATGGAGAGGATGCGTTAAGGGGGAGAGAGAAGGGGGAGTCGGGGGGGAGGCAAGAAAAGCTAGTACTTGCGCATTAACGGGCCCCAGAGAGGGTCTTGTGCCTATACAACCAATCCAAATGCTAAGTCAGCATCTTTTATTTATAACTAACCATCCATCAATGAATTATATTGTTTCCCTATGCTGTTTTTTTTTTTTTTTTGGCAATATACATTAAAGGTAAAAGTGTTGTTAGAGAGTTGTAGAAAATACATTACATTGCCAGATATAATATATATATATTTGTTTTTTTTAACTTATTAAATTATATGAAATTCTATAGAAAAACAGACAGTACAGTGCATATGCTTGTTTTGAAGCTGTGGGAGCAATAAATGAAAACACACAGTTAC